GTCATAGATCCACCTCATCGTGGCTATCAGATCCTGAGTCCCTTCAAACTCTGGTGGCTTCGTGTTGCTGAACTCTCGGTACAGCAACGAGTCACCCACCTGTGGCCTCGCTGCAACGACAGCTGCAGTGGCTGCAGTAGCAGCCACCTTAGTCAGAGCAGCATATCGCTCGTCGAATGTCTCAATCAGCGTGGTCTTGATAAACCCAAACATCTCCGGTATCTCAGTTCGGATGGCGGCGGCCACCTCCTCGTGAATCATCCTACAGATCTCCTCATCACTAGTATCACTGGTACCACTGCCTCCTGGGTTGTGGCGCGTCCCCACCATGATGCCTCTGAAATATGACATAAAATAATCAGAGACTCGACCGAGATTACTCACACTCGATCAACCGTTCCTACTTGTTCCTTAGCACCCTAAGGATTCTTACTTGGGAAGTTTACCGATCCGGTGCTTTCAGTAGTACGGGCCTAATACTACCTTCCACACCGTATCCGTATCCACACCAAGTCCTCCTCCTAGGATCCCAATTCACAAGTACTCTATACCCCCTGAATTCAGCCTACTCTCAAGCAGACTTCTCACAAGCTACTCTCTGCTACCTACATGCACTCAAAGCAACTCACAGCAGCATAAACTCCTAGGCTAAGGCATCACATATCAGGCCACCCTAGTCCTAAGATATGATTTACCTAGCCTACTATAGCATGCATAGCACATCACATAATATCTCATAACACATAATGTAAGGGTATTTTGGGGAGTCACCGTTCGGGAGCTGGCTGATCGTACACACTGCTCCTTTTTGCTTTTCTCAAAATCTTTTACTCTTTTTAGAAAAATTGCTTCTTTTATGAAAGATTTTCTCAAATCCTCAATTTGAGTCTAGATACGCCCGAAGGTGCATCTGAGTCCCTCAAACCAAGCTCTGATACCAACTTGTAACGTTATAAAAATTAAAAACAATTTTTCATTTTCCAAACATAACAAATCTCTTATAATCATCTCAAACTCAAGTGTATCAAATCTTATCACAGTAAAGTATATCCTAGAATCTCAAATACAAAATCCTCTGTCAGTGTGTACAAATCATGCTGGCGCCTTCCCGCGATCCTCACTAGTACCTGAAACACATATCACATAACACGGTAAGCATAAATCCTTAGTGAGTTTCCCCAAAATACAACATACAGCACATAAGCCACTCGAGGCTATAACTCGGTAAGACCCTCCGGTCAATGTGTCTCAGCGGGATCCTCCAGTCCCGTAGCTCGTTGGACCTTCCTGTCCGGTCTAGCTCGTTGGACCCTCCGGTCCGGTCTGATCGAGGACCCTCTGTCCTCATGAGTCGTTGGACCCTCTGGTCCGGTCTAAATAACACATAGCATACATATAACACAATGCACATAAATCTCAAACATACACATACACATAAGACCCTCCGGTCTGCACATAGATACCATTCTAGGTAATGTACAGTGAGAAGACTCACCTCGGGTAATCTCGGAAAGTCTCGAACTCGAAATACTGATCTAGCCTCCGCCTAATCACATAAAATAATTTACCTCAATTAACAACGATTCTCAAAGGCTAGACTAATCCCTTCCTATAATCTCTCAGAAGGGGGAAAGACCATTTTACCCCTCCAATGGTCCAAATGTCCAATTGTTGACCAAACCCTAAAAGTCAACGAAAGTAAACAGAGGGCAGTACGCGGGGCGTACCCCGGCTATCCAAAATCGGGGATCTCAACCCCTACGCGGCGCGTTCTGGGATTTACGCCCAGCGTAAGCCCCAGTTTCATGCTCTTAATGGTTTTTGGTCTGAATCGATTAAGACATAAGCTCACATTCCAGATCTAGTCCTTCTAATGCCTCTTAACCCATAAAGTCGAAGCCTTTAAGCCTTTGCATGGCTGTAAAGATCGCTAATCACTCCAAACTCTTATCATCTTTCCTCATTAAACCCTTATCTCATGCATGACTCAATATTAACGATCAAGATTCGATTTTTATGGATCTACAACACATTTAATACTGAAATGTGGCAGATCAAGGCTTATGGAGACCATTTACTCATAAAGTCTCCATCTTTGGGACAAAAACCCTAAAAATGGTCCATAATGCACAAATCCAAAAAGGTTAAGAAAGCTTTGAGCTTTTTACCTCCAAATGATGCTCCAACCTCTGTAAAGCGCAGATCCAAGGCTTGCACTTCAACTCTAGCTTCTACAATGGCCCTTCTTCTCTTCAAAAGCTCACAAGAACACTTTATCAAGCTCAAACACACACACACAAGCTCTAAAACGAGGGTTGGTTCTTTTAGGGTTTCACTCTCTGAAAATGGTGGCTGAAAAGGAGGCCATAATGTTCCTTTTATAGTGCTCATTCCTCATTTAGGGTTTCATGTCTGAGCCCAGTACGCCCAGCGTACTGGGTAGCATCCGCGTCAAGAGCACGCTCATGAGTACGCGTAGCGTACTCTTCAGTACGCCCAGCGTACTCATTTGCTACAAATTCCTTCCATGGGCTAGTTTTGACAATTTGGAAAAGAAGAGGGATTAAATAGGTATACCTGATTTCTGGATGTTACACGAGGTGAGTCTTCTCACCATGTCAATGGGTCTAAGACACCAAGGCCGACCTATTTAATGTTATATGGATTTATAGTTGGTTATGTGATATGTCGCTAGGAAATTTGTATGGAAGTTCCCGGGGGGTTCCCGTGGCAATATATTAAGACCATGTGGAGGTTCCTATGGCAATCGGTATAAGTCTGTGGAGGGTTTCCATGGCTTCCTAGTATGTTTACTTGTTTAGCTCGTATGATATTTCCATGATTGGTGTAGACCGTTGGGTTCCAGTGGCGGCTAGTAAAGACCACGTGGGGGTTTCCCGTGGCACTTGGCGTAAGACCTTGGAAGGTTTCCACGACATCCCTATATATTTATATGTATGACTTATATGGTTTATGTAGCTTTCATAGCTAATATGGATTATGTGATTATGTGGTTTGTGTGGGGTATGCTATGGGGAACTAACTAAGCTTCGTGCTTACGGTTTATAGTTTTGGTTTCAGGTATCATCGATTTGGAAAAGAAGGGTTAGGATTGATCGCAGTGTACACACCTATGATTTCCGTAATAAATGATTTTGGGATGAACTCTGATAAATGTTTTACTTAACGATGTTTGGGAATGTTTGAAATAAAATGTATCAATGTTTTGACTATATTAAAAATGAAATTTTTACTCTTGATTTTTGGATCGTTACACGATCACTCTTTATATTCTTCCAAGGCTAAAACTACTTAGATTGCATTGCTCATTTATGTAGACGACGAGATTCTCCTTGGTAATAATCGTGATCACAGAAAGACATATTTGCATGAAAAGTTCAACATCAAAGACTAAGGACCAGTGAAGTATATACATTGGACGTCCTCGCAGAGAGCAGTCTTCTAGTACTTAGATTGCATTGCTCATTTATGTAGACGACGAGATTCTCCTTGGTAATAATCGTGATCACAGAAAGACATATTTGCATGAAAAGTTCAACATCAAAGACTAAGGAAGTATATACATTGGACGTCCTCGCAGAGAGCAGTCTTCTAGGGTGTCGCCTTGGCTCCTTTCAAATGGAAACTAATGACAAAATCGACCATGTTATTGATTCACCATTTATTGATGCAAGACGATATCGACGAATCATTGGCCGATTGCTCTATCTACAAGTCACAAGACCCAACATAATACTTGCAGTCAATAGTTTGATTTAGTTTGTCTCTTCACCAAGAAAACCTCATCTTAATGTTGTCCACAAAATATTGTGCTACCTCAAAACTACTGCAGGACAAGAGATATTTTTTTTGTTTAACTGTAATCTAACTCACAACGCATTATGTGATTCAGATTGGCTTAGGTGTCCTTTTACTCGACGTCTAAAACTAAATATTTTATTACATTGGATGGAGTCCCAATATCTTGGAAAACCAAGAAACAATATGTGGTCTCAAGATCGTTTGGTAAAGCTGAGTATAAGGCCATTGCTACTACTTTTAGTGAACTCTTATGGCTCAGATGCGTGGTTGCTTTCTGATATGGATGCACCTTAGTTAGGGATAACACCGCTTCATTATGACAACAAAGTGGTTTGTCACAATGCCAATAACCCAGTCTTTCACCAACACACAAAACGTGTTGAGATGGATTTTACTTTGTACACTAGCGAGTAGAGTATGGTTAGATCAAGCTCTGCTACATTAGTAATAAATATTTGACATTTTCATTAAACCATTTGGGATGGAACGATTCGAGTTTTTACGTGGCAAGCTTGTCATTCGAGCTCACGGGATTGTTGGATTTGCTTATCTATAAACTTCCTAGTAGATGTAGACTAGGTCTCCATATTTTTGGTTTCCTAGTTGTTATCATTTTGTTATTTATTCCCCACGCAAGTTTACTATATAAACATTGCCACGGTGCCTTAATAAATAGAACCTGAAATATGATTCTTCAAGATTACTTCTAAACCGTCAAATTCATTAAATAAGTATATCCATGTTTAAATAAATTTTAAACAAACAAATTACCTAACGACTTATCAAATAAGATATTTAATTCATTAATTCCTTAAATCACAAAACAAAAGACGATTAAATTCTGAAAAAAAAAAAAAAACAAATAAACAAACAAACCACGATTAAATTCTGAAAAAAAAGGAAAAAAAAAGCAATGACTATTAAAATCTGAAAAATGTTTAAATAAGAAAACAGAAAATATTATAGAGATTTATTTTAGTTTCATTTCATATGCTATATTTATGTAAATTTAAGACTCGCCAATGAATTAATGTTGACTCCTCAACGACTTAGATTTCTTTTATATAGTGCCCAGCACCACATATAAACTAAGGTCCACTCATTGCTCGATTTGATATCTCATCGCCGTCGTCACCTCCACCATAAACCACCACGCAACCACCACCTCCAGCATTCAAATGGAAAGGTTGAAAACACAAACTCATGATTTCTTGAACGAAGAATCTTTCTCTCGACTTCCCTTCTCCCCTCACTTGCCACCCAAAGAGAATTCAATTAGGCTGTTCGGGAAAGAATTTGGTGGCGGTGATCTGGCCACCGTTAACACCGACGAGTCTAGTTCAGCGAAAAGTACCACCACCTTTATCCAGAATGAAACCAAAGAAAACGGAGAAAGTTGCAGGAAATTTGAATGCAATTATTGTTGCAGGAACTTCCCTACATCTCAAGCCCTTGGAGGCCATCAAAACGCACACAGAAGGGAAAGATTACAGGCCAAGCGTCCACATATCCTACCCTTCTCGATCCACCGTAGCTCCTCCAAGCCACAACTGCATAATGCCATTAACAACCACGATCACAACCTCACCACCACCACCACCACCACCTCACCACCCTATCGCCATCAATCCACTATAAAAAACATCATCGACTATAGCAATAATTTAAGGTTTTATGGAGGAAAAACTTCTTACACTTCCCATCAAACACCCATCAACGGTAGGCCATTGCCATTGTGGAGATTTCCCATGGTGGTGCACAACTCAACTATATTTAATCATGGCAGCTTGTTGAGTTCCTCAGACACCGGATCGAGGTCTGGGAACCTATACATGCATGAATTGCAGCAAAACATTCATGATCAAGTTAGTTTGGATTTGCATCTTTAGTATTTTAGTATTATTTTTTAATCTTTCTGAGGATATGTTTTCCTCATTGCAAGATCAGTACATGCACTAGCTAGATCATGGGATTCGTTTGTTTATTAATGCATTCATATTATGACCGAGAACTGTTAGTAATTATTTTATGATTATTTTATGAGTTATGTCTGTGACAAGATCCAATAATTAAAAGGTAGCGCATTGACTTGTGTACATAAATAATTAATATAGTACAATAATGTTAAATTGTCAAATTACTAGTTTTTTTATATCCGAACTTTACGAAATACCAAGGAAAGCTCTATAATTACATAGTTTGTAAAGGTTTTGGACGAACAAACTTATAAACAAATCCATAAAAAGCGAGACGAACATCTTTTAGCAACATATAATGTCATATCGTAACTTTGTAAGATTATCCTATTAATTAAATGTTCATTATAATTCTAGAGATATAATGGAACGGTATACGTTTAAACATATATTATTGTGATTGAGGATAATATGATGTCTGAAAAATTAGGTGGCAGATTAAAAATAAAAAATAAATGGAGGACTATTGTACAAATGTGCTAACTTCGTGGGGACCATGTGCTAAGAGTATACCAGTAGTAGTTTTTTCATAATTTTTTATTATGTGATTTACTTTTGAAAATTTGTTTAGATTTATTTAAATAAAAGTTCATTTGGTGATATTTTGTTAGTTTTATTACTGTAAAGATTTTTGATAAATTCGGTAAGTTTTATATGGTTTTATTTCTGTGATGATTTTTGATATATTAATGTGTAATAGTTGGGAAGACATGTTTGTATTAGTCATTTTTCTTTTTTTACCTTCTATAATAGGTTACCATTGCTTATAACAGGTCACCATCACCGCAATCTGTCCTAATGCCACAACCAAATGCAAAAACCACCCCCTTAACCAGTTACCTACATGCTTAACTGTCCTATGTAGCAAGACCACACCAAATCACTGTTATTTTCATATAAGCAAACATCGTTTGAACCGCCTTCCCTCCACCATCAAACCCCACCAAACACCATTGTCTTCCAACCACCGGAGCTACCTACACCACCCTCTTTCCTCCGTCAGAAAAACAAAAACCCCCTTATCTCTCCTTTTCCATTTCACCACATCCCCTGCCACCACCATTAGCAACCACCACAACCCTTATCTCTCTCATATACGAAGAACATAGCTGAGGCAGCGACGCCACCACCACCATTTAGAAATCAAAACACACAAAATAGGTGGTGCCAACAAAGGCGGTTAGCTTTTACGACGAAGATGTTAGCAGCAACAACTAAAGGTGGCGAAGGCTAAGGTTCATGGTACTAGCTGAAGGTGGGGTTTTTGATTTTTTGGCGAATGGAGAAGGGTAGCAGAGGTAGTTCTGGAGGTAGTTCCGAAGGTTAGAAGAGAATAGTGATAAGTGGAGTTTGATGGCGGAGAGAAGAACGTTCCAACGGTGTGTGCAGGTCTGAAAATGGCGATGATCTTCAATTTTCCGGCAGGCAGAGGAAGGTGTTGTAGGTAGCTCTAACGATGATAGCAGTAGTTTCTTGAAAGATAGAGAAGGGAGAAGGAGTAGGGAGGTAGAATTTAACCGACTGTGGTGTTGGTGACCAATTGTACAAGGTAAAAAATGTTTGAAGGGCAAATACGAACAACTCTTCCCAACTATTAGGCATTAACGCACCAAAAATAATCACATGGACAAAACCGACAAAACTTGTCTAACTTAAGGACTTTTACGTTAATAGCCCTTTTTTATCATTAATTAACAACAAAACATATGTATTAGGGGATACATTTTTCGCCGCTAAAGACAAACGATGTCGCAGTAAAAGGTTTTAGCGGTGACTGTTACATCCCAAAAATCATGCAAATTTAAATTTTTCAAAAGCAACCCGTTAACCATAAAGTTTTTACAAAACCATTGTTTCTAAAGTATAATCAAAATCAGAGTATGCTAAGATCCAATATCATAAAAAACAGGAAGATGTGCACGATCACGTCTTCGCTTTCCCATGATCATCTAAATTACCTTAAATAATAAAATTAAATTGTAAGCCAAAGCTTAGTAAGATCCCCGAAAGTACCACCACACAACATAACAAACAATAACATGAATATATGCGCCTACAGCCTAACTGGACCGCCTCGTAGGGCCTACAACCTATCTGGACTGCTCTCCAGGCCTTTGGCATGACTAGACCGCCTCGTAGGGCCTACATACTATCCATACTGCCTCGGGTATCTTGTCCTTCAGTACAAAGCAAAACCGCCTCAACCCAACCACAATATGTCGACATATACAACAAATAAAAAAACACATATCTAGCAAATACAGGTAATCATACAGATCTACTAATCGATCATATAACCAACATGACATCATCCTATATACCAAGATACATAACCTAGTGGATCGATATTGGTGCCTTCGACCCACAAGTACACTGAGGAAAACTCATCTCTCATTCCGAACAAATCGTTGAATAGGTCACTGCTCCGAATATCACCTATACCCGTCACTTATTCATCAAATAGGGACCAATCTCAATTATAACTCAAAATATCCAAAATACCCTTTGGTCAAACTTGGTCAAAACTACAGTCAAAGTCAAAATCAACTACATCAGGTTGCCACGCCGTGGCCATCCTTGGCCACGCCGTGGCCACTAAATGACAAAACAGGTGAGACCCAACCCAGCCGCCATGCCATGGAGACTTAGGCCATGTCGTGGGCACTAGGATCCCAACAACTTAATGGATTAAGCCATTTTCGTTGATCTTAAGGGCTCCAAATCCCAGTTCTGGTCCATTCTAAGATCCAAGTGGATGAAGTTTCCAACTTTATCCCTTTGGACTCTCTAAGGGATAGAGATCCCTTTTCTAGATCTAAATAGGGCAAAAACATAACTTCTATAACGTCCCAAAAATTATGAGGTAAAAATTTCATTTTTAATTCAATCAAAACACCAATTCTCTTTATTTCAAACATTTAAAGTATTTCAAAATAAAATAGATATCAGAGTACAATCCCAAAATCATCATATTGTGGAAACATGGGTGGATGCGGTGCGATCAAGTCGGGCCCTTCCTTTCGAACTGGAAGTACCTGAAAACATAACCATAAAACCGTAAGCACAAAGCTTAGTGAGTCCCCAAAATACCACATACCCTACATACCATTGGGCCCAGCCCGCATATTGGGCCCAACTCACCATAATGGGCCTAACCCTACCACACCAATAGGCCTAGCCCGATCATACAAATGCAAAACTCACAGAGACAGTTAGCACTCTACATAACATACAATGGGCCTAGCCCTTCCTGATTCATAGGCCTATCCCAACATACTAATGGGTCTAACCTAACATACCATGCAAAAGTCATAAAGAAATATGGCATAACATAATCTAGTGGGTCGGTATTGGTGCCTTTGACCCACAAGTACAGTGAGAAGACTGACCTCAAGCCGCTGATAACCGATAACTGCTTGGGTCGTTGAACCGAATAAACTCGGACCAACTAACAATAAATACAACCTGAATTAATAATTAACCCAATAACCCAAAATCCAAGGCCCAATCCATAATCCAGCTTCCTACAGGGTAAAAGACCATTTTACCCTTCCCATAACTAGTCCAACCTCTCATGGCACAACCCCCAAAAGGCCCAAATTGAAATCCCCAGGAGTACGTCCCACGTACCAGATGTGTACGCCCCGCGTACTCACCCTCAAAACACAAGGTACAAGATGTCGATGGACAAACCAACATTACGCTGAGCGTACACCTACGTACGCCTATCGTACTCATAAGAGGCACCAAAATCCATAATATGCTCTTAAAGGTTAAGAAAAAAGCATCCAAACACATATCTGACCCTTAAGGAGTGTCTTAACACATAAAGTTGGCAACTTTATTTCTTTGCATGACTTAATGGGACCAAATCCTTCTTTTTATCCATACTAAGAACACTAACTCATGCACGCATCAACAAAAACCCTCAAGATGACATTTTTATGACCTAACAACTCAAAAAGGACCAAATATGAAGCTCAAAGGTCCTGGAGTAGCTGTTACTCATAAGAACAACAACCTTGGGACCAAAACATGGAAAAACACCACCCAAAACTAAATCTATACTAGAGAACCATAAATTTTGAAGCTTTATACCTCCAGAAGGTAGATCAGGATGATTAGAGCCTGGATTCACAATCTCCAAGCAATCCCACACTTCTCCAAAAAGCTCCTTATTCTTCAATGAGCACCAAAATGCATGAAATCACACCAAAAGCTCAAGAATCACACCAATGGAGGCTAGGGTTTAATAGGATGGAGGCTGAAGGTAGAAAGGGTTTAGAGTTGAGTTAAGGCCATTAAAATAGGGTCCACGACCCTAAATTAGGGTTTGCATATGGTTGGAGTACGACCATCGTTCTCTTGGTACACCCAACATACTCTAAAGGGGCTTCCGCGATCAACCTACCTAGTACGCCCATCGTACTCCTATGTACGCCCGGCGTACTAGGCTTAGCCTTAAAGCCACCAAACTTTCGAAAAGCCATAAATTCTTCATTCTAAGTTCGATTCCGACGATTCTTATAACTACGGAAAGTTAATGAGAAGTTTTACACTATTATCGACTTACACTTGCCTTAAAACTTTCCGAACTTAAATCTGAAATCTATAAAAGGCCCAAACTTTCACTTAACTAATATACCCTTGGGCTCAAAACACAAACCGAACTCCCGGATTATCCAATCTACATTTCCACACCCAAAGGGGTTTTATTATCTTTTTCCCAAAGGCCCTAAGCCTTGTGATAACCGATCTTCGGTTCACGGCCCCGAATTAGGAAATGATTCGGAACAGGGTGTTACAACTCTCCCTAATTGAATTAGATTTCGTCCTCGAAATCACTCTTTACCACCCTCCTAGAAAACCAAACGCTCTGACAAAAACCTCCTAATAATGAACAAATCACTGAC